GCGAGTAGCCCGCCACGAGACAGAGCCAGAACCAAGGCTGAAGGTGTAACCCTGTGACGACCGCTGCGTAGCCTGGTCGTCAGCCCATGAAGCGTCTACGTGCCCAGTGAGGACCACTGGACTCCGCCCTCCAAGCACTAGCCCCATGCCCGACGTACTGCACAAGTAGCGCAACACCCTCTTCGCTGCCGCCATGTGCTCTGGTCGGTGTCTCCCAGGAGCAACATAGCGTGCCAAGATGCTAAGAGGGTATGCAAGTTCAGGGCGTGTGCAGGTCATCAGGTACATGAGGCAGCCAACAAGCTCTGGGTACGGGCCACTCGACTCTACGGACTCATCCGAAGGCAGAGCTGAGAGCGAGTGGCGAGTAGGCAGAGGAGTGGCCTGAGGCGAGGAGTACGTGAAGCCGAAGCGCTGAAGGACCTGCTGCACCATGTGTGACTGAGTCAGGGTAATGGTGCGGCGTGCTCTGTCCCGGGTGATCTGCAAGCCAAGGTAGCTGCGCAGTTCACCCAGGTCTGTGCACGTGTGTCTCTTCTGCAGCTCGAAGTTCACGTAGGCGAGTCCAGCAGTGTCAGTTGTGGCAAAGACCAAGTCGTCCACGTACACGAGGATGTAGAACGGCGGCAGAGAGGTGTCGGTGCGCAGAAACAGCGACGGGTCGGCAGTAGAAGGAGCAAACCCAAGAGCCGCAAGCGTAGTCCTCAGTGTATCGTGCCACTCACGTGGCGCCTGGCGGAGACCGTAGACTGGACGCCGGAGACTCCACTGGGTACCAGGAGGGAAAGACCCAGTGAAGCCAGGTGGGCGGCGCAGCCAGATCTCCTCGTGCAGGCTGCCCTGCAAGAAAGTTGTGCTGAAGTCGAGAGAGTGCAGCTCGTAGTCACGGCGAGCAGCAACGTGCAGCAGTACCCGAAGAGTGGTCATCTTTGGGGTAGGGGAGAAGGTCTGAAAGTAGTCAACTCCCTGCCGCTGACTGGAGCCACGAGCCACGTAACGCGCCTTGAAGACAGGCGGAGAACCCGGCGGCCGCTTCACCCTGAAGATCCACATGCCACTGACGATGTTCGCCCCAGGAGGGGGGACAGCGTCGACGTAGGTGCCTGTGGACTTCCAGGAAGCCATCTCTGCATCCATAGCTGCCTGCCACTGAGAGGAGTAGGGACCCTCTATCGCCTCCGCGTAAGAGCGCGGAGTCGGGATGTCAAGTGCATCCGGGTCTCCCTCAGGGGTAAGCAGTACGGACACGAGATAAGGTGAAGCAGCTGCCAGATACTGGAACTCCTCCTGCCTATCCTCAAGGACGTCCGTGCCAAGAGCACACTCACCCCCGACGGACGGAGGACAGACAGACTCAGACTCAGCGACAAGACTAGCAGCGTAGTCTAGGCGACAGCGAGCAGCAAAGTCGACGAGCTCAGCAACTAGGGCAGACGCAGCAGTGGACTCAAAAGAAGGGTCAGTGACGATAGTAGCAAGGAGACGCGTAACAGTAGGACTGGCAGCACGAAGAGAGTCCGACTCCGGGTCGGGAAGAGCAGGAAGAGAGGACTCAGGAGGAGAAGGCAAAGGGGCACGCAGAGGACTCAGGACTCTCACACCTTGGAACAACCTACTCGATATACTATTTCGGGCCTAGGCTCCTAAGCCTAGGCCCTAGTCAAACTTAACTCATTCCTCGTTTCATCTCGATATGCTATCAGAGCAAGTTACGTCCTGGCCTTTGCGCCCGCCTCATGTTTCCGCTGCTACGTTTTTCCAGTCGCGCGCCTAGGGCGCGTGGCGATTTTCTCTTGTCCCGCCCCCTGTTGGCGTGTGACTCCTTCTCTGCCCGTCGCGCGCCCCGTGGCACGCGACGGTGCCCTAAACCTGCCCGTCGTGCGCCCCGTGGCACGCGACGGTGCCCTGCTCGTCGTGTGCCCCGAGGCACACGATCGGGCCCTAAACTTAAACTTACCCGTCGTGCGCCCCGTGGCACGCGACGGGCCTCTCCGCACCCGCTCTCCCTGCAGCCGCCCCTGACCTACCTGCGCCGACACATTGTAGCCGCTCTGCGGCTTTCTTCCCGCCCACCCCCTCCTCCTTTGTCTCCCTGCAGCCGTGGGGGGGAGGGTATGGGGGTGGCGGGTGTTGGAGTGTTGGGTCGTACACTTCCCTTCTCCTCCTCCTCCTTTCGTTCCCACTGCTGCAGCTGCCGCTGGGGGGGAGGGTGTGAGGGTGTGGGGGAGCAGGGGGAGTGGCATCAGGGTGGCGGGTGTGAGGCAACCAGCAGCCGTCCCTCCACCTCTCCTCTCTTCCCCCCCCCTCTCTGCTGCTCCTGCAGCAGTGTGGGGGAGGGGAAGGAGGAGGGTGAGGAGATGGAGGGGGTAACCAGCCAGAGTTAGCCCGCCTACAGTACCTGCTGTTGCTTGTTTATTATTCTGTGGTGTACCTCTGCAGGTTGTGTTCTGCACTTAGCTATTCCTGCATGCAGTTACGGGGGGATGTCAGAACTATGTTGTTATAACTGCATGTAGTTCTAGCTGTAGTGTAGTTATTAAATTTGTAGGTGGTGCACCTCTTCATTTGTTCGCTATATGTACCCTTGTGCTAAGTGAACAAGCATCATTCCCAAACTCACTCGGCTCTGATACCATGTCAAAATTAGAAGAGAGAAGAGGATTGCTCTAGCAAGAAGGGGGATACAAATAGCAAACCCTAGAAGGGTTGTACTCGCTATAGAGCACCCCACTACAGGCTAGAGCATAAGATAACATTTTGACATCCGGGTCTCCCTCAGGGGTAAGCAGTACGGACACGAGATGAGGTGAAGCAGCTGCCAGACACTGGAACTCCTCCTGCCTGTCCTCTAGGACGTCCGTGCCAAGAGCACACTCACCCCCAACGGACGGAGGACAGACAGACTCAGACTCAGCGACAAGACTAGCAGCGTAGTCTAGGCGACAGCGAGCAGCAAAGTCGACGAGCTCAGCAACTAGGGCAGACGCAGCAGTGGACTCAAAAGAAGGGTCAGTGACGACAGTAGCAAGGAGACGCGTGACAGTAGGACTGGCAGCACGAAGAGAGTCCGACTCCGGGTCGACAAGAGCAGGAAGAGAAGACTTAGGAGGAGAAGGCAAAGGGGCACGCAGAGGAGTAGTGGACGGGCGTAGAGACATCCGGTGCGTGCCTGGGACAGGAGGAGGACGCTGACGCGAATTGCGACCACTAGTGCGAGCAGCACGAACTGGCGACGCAGGGCGAGACGCAGGCTCACGACGCTCAGCAAGACCTCCAGTAGGACAAGTGTAGGGAGAAGGAGCAGGAAAAGGGGAGGTAGGCTGCAGCTGTAACTGCGACGGGACAGGCTGCGGACACTCGAAGGGAGGAGGAGGACCAGTAGAAGGTGGAAGACCAAGAACGTGCTGCGGGAGTGGAACAAAGTACGGTCGAGGCCGCGTGGCGACGCCAGAAGCAGCAAGGACAGCACCAGCACCCTCAGCAGGAGCACCCGCGCCAGTAGCACCCCCAGCAGCTCCAGAACCTCCAGCAGCACCAGAACCTCCAGCAGCACCAGAACCGCCAGCAGCTCCAGAACCTCCAGCAGCACCAGAACCTCCAGAAGCGCCAGCGGTAGTCTCAGCGCCAACACCCTCAGCAGCACCAGCTCAAGTCGAACCCGCAGGCCCGGCAGCTCCAGTACTCCCCGTACGAGCACATCCGGGACCCGCGACCGCAGCACCCTCAGCAGGCTAAGAACCTCCAGCACCAGCAGTACGGCGCCAGCGCCGGGCAAACCACTCGCGCAGCTCTTGTGGAGAGAGTGGCTCCCGGCGAGACGAAGCACCTCCAGACAGAGTACCTCCAGGCTCAGCACCCCCAGACGTAGCACCCTCAGGCGTAGCACCCCCAGGCGTAGCACCCCCAGGCTCAGTACCCCCAGAAGCAGCACCCCCAGGCTCAGCACCCCCAGACGCAGCACCCCGAGGCTCAGCACCCCCAGACGCAGCACCCCCGGGCTCAGCACCCCCAGACGCAGCACCCCCAGGCTCAGCACCCCCAGACTCAGCACCCCCAGGTCCAGCACCCCCAGGCTCAGCACCCCCAGCAGTACTTGAGTCACCAGTGACCTCGACAGGCTCGACTGCGTCTACCTGGGACACACCTGAAGGGGCAGGACCCTGAGGGGGAAGGGGGTCTACCTGGGGGGGACCTGGTACAAGGAAGAGCGGGGGTGGCGGGAGGGAAGGAGTGCGGTAGGGGAAGAGGCGGTAGTAGGGGACCGACTCGTCAAACGTGACGTCCTGGGAGGACAGAACACGTCGAGAGGTGGGGTGGTAGAACTGCCACCCAGGCGCGTCAGGGGGGAACCCCAGGAAGACGCAAGGAGCAGCACGAGGGGACAGTTTGTCCGCAGACAAGTCGCGGACAAACGCCCGAGATCCCCAGACCCGGAACGCTGACGCATCGCCAACCTTCCCCGTCCACAGCAAGGCTGGGGAGGTCTCCGGCCTGGAGACCCTGGGGTGGAGGTTGATCTGATGCGCCGCGTACCTCACCGCAAACGGCCACAGAAAATGGGGGGCAGCCGCATGCATCATAGACGTACGAGCGACGTCCATGACCATGCCAATGCGGCGCTCAGCAATCCCATTTTGCTGCGGGGAGTCCGGAAGCGTGAAGGTCTGACGGATGCCTCGTGCACGACAGTAGGCTCGCAGAAGGCCAGAGGAGAACTCTCCGCCTCTGTCCGAGTGCAGACGCAGAACAAGAAAGTCCAAGCAAAAGCTCTGCCTGAGCTGGAGACGAGCTGCGCGGATCTAGTCGATCAGCACCTCAGCGACGTCACCCTTGCTGCGCAAGGGGAAGACTGTGGTGTAACGCGAGTAGTCGTCAACAACGAGCAGGAAGTAGCGCTCGTGACCCTGTCCACGGACGCGGGCTGGGCCCCACACGTCCATGTGAAGCGTCTGCAACGGGGCCTCTGTCAGAGGAAACTGGGAGGAGTGAGGGGCAGCACGCTAGCGCCCCTCGACACAGGGGACACAGGCAGGGCCAGGGCCCTGAGGAAGGGGAGGGAGGGACCGGGGGAGACCAGACACAAGAAGACGGGAGGCCATGCCCCTGAGACGAAGCAGAGAGGGGTGGCCAAGGCGGTGGTGCCAGAGGAGAGTCTCGTGAGACAAGAGACGACACGAACAGGGGGCAGACTCAGGACCAGACCTGGACGCCGCAGCAAACACCTGACCCGACGCAGCTACCCGACCAGACTCAGCAACTGGAGGAGACGCAGTAGTCAGAGTGTACAGGCTCGACCCCAGCTGACGGGTGAACGTAGCCAGGTGTCGGCCCGTGTCAGCCTCTGTACAGTGGGTCACTCGCCGACGTGCAGGAGTGAACTGGTGGACACCCGCATCCTGTAGGTCAGCACCACTCACCAGGTTCGTCGAGAACGAGGGGAGGTAGAGACCAGACAGGGTGCCAGAGGGAGCCGCCGGACACGGGAGGACCGTGGAGAAGCGAGACAGGACAGGACCCCCAGAGGGGTCAGCCAGAGACACCGCAACCGGCCGACTAAGCGGCGTGAGTGTGGTGCGGTCCCGAAAGAAGGAGCGAGAAGCCCCAGAGTCAAGGGTGAAGGTGAGGGAGGCCGAAGCCGACGTAGTACCTGAGAGCGCAGACTCACCAGTACCTGAGGACGCAGACACACCAGCACCTAGAGCAGCAGCGTCGCAAGCACCTAGGGCAGCAGCCGCACCAGTACCTAGAGCAGCAGTCTTAATGCCCGGATCGGGCGGGAAACACTGGTAACAGTCACCCTCGTCACTAATAGACACAGCATACATGGTAGAGAGAAGTGAGGACAAAGCAGCGCTGGGTGGGGTGCGCACCCCCACACTGCTCACCCGCACGGTCGCCGGTGCGCAGGACATAGGTGCACGGACCAAAGCCCCCACCCCGCTGGCGGGCAGTGTACCACTCACGGAGCTGCTGAGGGGACAGGGTCGTACGACCGCGCTGCTGCTGCTGGCGCAAGCCACCACCGGAGCCACTCCTCTGCGAAGACCCGCGACCAGCTCCACCGCCACCCCCACCGCCTCCACCGCCTCCACCGCCTCCACTGCCGCCGCCGCCACCACCGCCGCCTCCTCCGCCACCTCTGCTCCCACCGCCACCGCCGCCTCCGCCTCCGCCTCCACTTCTGCCACCAACCCCTCCACCCCCACCTCCACTCCCACCGCCACCCTCACTCCCCCCACCGCCTCCACCTCCACCTCCACCGCCCGCTCCTCCAGCACCCTTGCCCCCCTTGCCCCTGCCAGAGCAGCGTCTCCCGCTAGGGGCAGACGCCGCACCGACCGACTCCAGACCAAGGAGGTCGGCCGCAGCAGCAGAGGCGACAGAGGGCAGCAGGGGGGAGGGAGAACACCCCTCAAAGATGGGGGCGCGCGGGTCACCTCGAGAGGCTCCTACAGCGACTACGCTCTTCTCTATCGCGAGGAGGGCCTTCTCGAGGAGATCTACGGTGAGTGTGGTGGGACAGACTGAGAGAAAGTGGTCCCTGACTACGCGAAGGGAGTCAGGGAGGCGAGTGACTAGGAAGTACAGAGTGATGTACATGGGGGGGGGGTTCGCGGCGCAGAAGTCAGCAGGGAGTGCAGCGCGGTAGCGAGTGTCACTAGTGCGGAGGTGCGTAATAAGGTCAGCAACGGTGGGAAAGGCAGCAAGGTCATGGAAGAGGTACGGTAGCATGAGACGGCTCAGTGCAGCAGTGGAAGGGGAGGAGTAGCGTGCGACTACAACGTCGTACAAGGTCCTAGCACTCTTGTACTGACTAAAGTGCGCACGCTCGGAGGTAGGGAGGTGGCGAAGCACAGCAAGACGTGCAGCAGCATCGCGCGTGGCCCACTGGGAGCGTACAGTGGGGTCAGCATCAGCAGCAGGGGTAGGAGAGGCGCCAGAGGTGAGGTCAAAGAGGGAAAGACCGTCCGCCCTATCGCACTGTAAGAACAGCTGCAGGTCGTCGACCCAGACCTCAAAGTCAATGGCTCGACCCTCAGCGTCAAAGGCGAGGACACTAGGGGTAGCCATGACTACGACAGTGGAGCAGTGCAAGCCGTAGGGGAAGGGCACGCAGTGACCGCGGTACGGTGCTCACCGGGCAGGGCAGGTCGGGCGGCTCGGCAGTAGGGCGGCACGGCGAATCGGCGGCTCGGCTGCTGGGCGGCCCGGCGGCAGGGCGGCTCGGCTCCCGGGCGGCTCGGCGGCAGGGCGGCTCGGCTCCCGGGCGGCTCGACGGCAGGGCGGCTCGGCTGCTGGGCGGCTCGGGTGCAAAGCGGCTCGGCGGCTGGGCGGCTCGGCGGCTGCTGCTGGGCGACTCGGCTGCTCCGGTACCGGGCGACGTGGCGGTCGGCCGCTTGGGCGGCAGGGCCGCGTAAGTGAGGGCGGCGGAGCCGCGTAGGTGAGGACGGCGGGGCCGCTTGGGGAGGGCGGCGGGGCCGCGTTGGTGAGGGCGGCGGGGCCGCGTAGGAGAGGGCGGCGGGGCCGCGACAGCAGGGTGACGGGGCCGCGACAGCAGGGCGACGGGGCCGCGACAGCAGGGCGACGGGGCCGTGACAGCAGGGCGACGGGGCCGCGAGCAAAGGGCGGCGGGGCCGCGACAGCAGGGCGGCGGGGCCGCGACAGCAGGGCGACGGGGCCGCGACAGCAGGGCGACGGGGCTGCGACAGCAGGGCGACGGGGCCGCGAACAAAGGGCGGCGGGGCCGCGACAGCAAGGCGGCGGGGCCGCGACAGCAGGGCGACGGGGCCGCGAGCAAAGGGCGGCGGGGCCGCGACAGCAGAGCGGCGGGGCCGCGACAGCAGGGCGACGGGGCCGCGAGCAAAGGGCGGCGGGGCTGCGACAGCAGGGCGACGGGGCCGCGAGGTAAGGGCGGCGGTGCCGCGAGGCGTAGGGCGGCGGGGCCGCGATGGGTAGGGCGGCGGGGCCGCAAGGCGTAGGGCGGCGGGGCCGCGATAGCAGGGTCGGCCGCTAGGGCGGCTTGGTGAGAGAATGGCCCGAGGCGCGACTCGGGATGAGGGCGCTTCAGGCAAGAAAAAAAATCGAGTGGTGGGCCCTAGGCGCAGTTCCCACAGGGGAACCTGCTCGATACCATGAGAAGAATAGAACGAGAATGAATGACTAAGGAATGGAAGTGATACAAATAGGAAACCCTAATTGGGTTGTACCCCCTATGGGATACCCCACTACAGCCTACACAAAATGTATAAGCTATATAGAGTTCTGACAGGGGGAACCCAAGGAAGACGCAAGGAGCAGCACGAGGGGACAGTTTGTCCGCAGACAAGTCGCGGACAAACTCCCGAGATCCCCAGACCCGGAACGCCGACGCATCGCCAACCCTCCCCGTCCACAGCAAGGCTGGGGAGGTCTCCGGCCTGGAGACCCTGGGGTGAAGGCTGATCTGATACGCCGCGTACCTCACCGCAAACGGCCACAGAAAATGGGGGGCAGCCGCATGCATCATAGACGTACGAGCGACGTCCATGACCATGCCAATGCGGCGCTCAGCAATCCCATTTTGCTGTGGAGAGTCCGGAAGTGTGAAGGTCTGACGGATGCCCCGTGCGCGACAGTAGGCTCTCAGAAGGCCAGAGGAAAACTCTCCGCCTCTGTCCGAGTGCAGACGCAGAACAGGAAAGTCCGAGCCAAAGCTCTGCCTGAGCTGGAGACGAGCTGCGCGGATCCAGTCGATCAGCACCTCACTGACATCACCCTTGCTGCGCAAGGGGAAGACTGCGGTGTAACGCGAGTAGTCGTCAACAACGAGCAGGAAGTAGCGCTCGTGACCCTGTCCACGGACGCGGGCTGGGACCCACACGTCCATGTGAAGCGTCTACAACGGGGCCTCTGTCGAAGGAAACTGGGAGGAGTGAGGGGCAGCACGCTGGCGCCCCTCGACACAGGGGACACAGGTAGGGCCAGGGCCCTGAGGAAGGGGAGGGAGGGACCGGGGGAGACCAGAAACAAGAAGACGAGAGGCCATGCCTCTGAGCCGAAGCAGAGAGGGGTGACCAAGGCGGTGGTGCCAGAGGAGAGTCTCGTGAGACAGGAGACGACACGAACAGGGGGCCGACTCAGGACCAGACCTGGACGCTGCAGCAAACACATGACCCGACGCAGCGACCCTACCAGACTCAGCAACTGGAGGAGACGCAGTGGTCAGTGTGTACAGGCTCGTCCCCGGCCGACGAGTAAACGTGGCCAGGTGTCGGCCTGTCCGAGCGTCTGTGCAGTGGGTCACCCGCTGACTCGCAGGAGTGAACTGGTGAACCCCCGCATCCTGCAGGTCAGCACCACTCACCAAGTTCGTAGAGAACGAGGGGAGGTAAAGACCAGACAGGGTGCCAGAGGGGGCTGCCGGACACGGGAGGACAGTGGAGAAGTGAGCAAGGACAGGACCCCCAGAGGGGTCTGCCAGAGAGATTGCAACTGGCCGACCAAGCGGCGTGAGTGTGGTGCGGTCTCGAAAGAAGGAGCGGGAAGCCCCCGAGTCAAGGGTGAAGGTGTGAGAGGCCGGAGCCGACGCGGTACCTGAGAGAGCAGACTCACCCGCACCTGAGGAAGCAGACTCACTAGCACCTAGAGCAGCAGCCGCACCTGTACCTGGAGCAGGAGACACACTAGCACCCAGAGCAGCAGCCGCACCAGCAGCTAGAGCAGCAGGCTCTATATCCGGGTCAGGCGGTACGCACAGGTGACCGGCACGGTCAGCACTAGTAGGCAATGCATACATGGCAGTGAGAATAACATCATAGTCAAGAGCAAATATATCGACCCTCTGCCTAAGCAACTCCACCCAGTCGGGTAGCTCAGCCTCGTCGCCAAACTCGGTACGCCAGGCGTCGCTCAGGCGGGCGAAGCAGCGGGACGGTATGTGACTAGGCGTCCCACAAGGCTGACCAGTCCGAGAACCAGTGCGAATCACGTAAGAGCAGCAAACAGAACTGAGAGACTCTCGACTCTGAGCGTACCACTCACGAAGCTGCTGGGGCGTGAGAGACGCGCGTGGGCGTCGCTGGAGCTGCATCTGGCCGCCGCCAGTAGAAGCAGGAGCAGGAGTAGCAGCAGGAAGCCAAGCAAGCAGCAGGCAGCGCGCTAGTAAGGCAGGGGCTCACCAGTGGTGGGAAGAGCAGGCTCGACGACTCGGCGACACGGCGGCACTTCAGCAACTGCGGCTAGGCGGCTCGGGCGACTCGGGCGGCTCGGCTGCTCGGGCGACTCGGGCGGCTCGGCGGCTCGGCGGCTCGGGCGGCTCGGGCGGCTCGGACGACTCGGGCGGCTAGGCAACTCGGGCGACTCGGGCGACTCGGGCGACTCGGGCGGCTCGGACGGCTCGGGCGACTCGGGCGACTCAGGCGGCTCGGCGACTCGGGCAACTCGGGCGACTCGGGCGACTCGGGCGGCTCGGGCGGCTGAGGTGGCGCTGCGGCTCGGGCGGCTCGGGCGGCTCGGGCGACTCGGGTGGCTCGGCACTAGCTCGGTGGCGCCAGCGGCTCGGTGGTGACGGCGGGGCCGCTTGGGGACGGCGGCGGGGCCGAGTGGAGCGGCGACGGGGCCAGCAGAGGCGGTGCCGGGGCCGGCAGAGGTGGAGCCAGGGCCGCAGGGGCAGGCGATGGGGCCAGCAGAGGCGGGGCCGGGTCGGTGCAGGGCTGCGGGGCCGCAAGGGAGGTGGCGGGGCCGCGGTGGAGAATGGCGGCAGGGGCCGCGACGAAGGGCGGCAGGGGCCGCGACGAAGGGCGGCAGGGGCCGCGATAAAGGGCGGCAGGGGCCGCGACAAAGGGCGGCAGGGCCGCTAAGAAGAGCGGCGGGGCCGCGTCAACAGAGGCGGCGGGACCGCAAGGCAGGATGGCGAGGCCGTGACGAAGGGTGGCAGGGGCCGCAACGAAGGGCGGGGCCGCGACGAGGGGTGGCGGGGCCGCGACGAGGGGCGGGGCCGCGAAGTAGGGAGGGGCCGCGACAAGGGGCGGGGCCGCGACGAGAGAGGCGGGGCCGCGCGCCTCGGGGCGCGCGCCAGAAAGAAAATCGCCGCGCGCTGGTCGCATGCCGCGGGGCGTGCGACAGATCGAGTAGCAGCGGAAGCAGTAGTAGGGCCTTAGGAACAGTTCCCACGAGGGAACCTGCTCGATACCATGAGGAAAGTAGAACGAGAATGAATGAACTATGAAATGAGTGAGTACAAGTACTAACCCTAATTGGGTTGTACCCCCTATGGGATACCCCACTATAGCCTACACAAATGTATAAGCTATATAATGTTCTGACACAATGATCACAACCTAACAAGAGTAAACATGCAGGTATATATATATATAGAGATCACCGTACAAACAGACTCAAGAAGTAAGCAAGTGAGGTCCAGTAGGCACCAGGCCTAGAAGAGTGCAAAAGCGCTGATGGTCACAAGGCTGAAGCGCCTTAGTGAACACATCAGCAGTGTTGGCCTCAAAGGCCACGTACCGCAGACGAAGCTGACCACGCTGCTGCAGCTCTCGAGCAAGGAAGTAGCGCAGAGCAATGTGCTTCGTTCTGTGCTCCAGTCTGTGCTCCTGACACAAGGCAATGGCTGCCTTGTTGTCGACGTACAGTACTGGAGGAGAATGAGGCCCCTCTCCAAGGTCGGTCAGCAAGTAGGTGAGCCAGCGTAGCTCCTGGGCCGCCATGGCTGTGGCGTAGATCTCAGCCTCACAACTGGAGCTGAGAACAGAAGAAGAGCGAGTAGAACGCCAAGAAACAGAACCAGAGCTAAGACTGAAGGACTAGCCCTGAGACGACCGCTGAGTAGCCTGGTCGTCTGCCCAAGAAGCGTCTGAGTGCCCAGTGAGAACAATTGGGACTCGCCCTCCAAGCACTAGCCCCATGCCCGACGTACTGCACAAGTAGCGCAACACCCTCTTAGCTGCATCCATGTGCTCCTTCCGGTGACGGCCGGGAGCGACATAGCGTGCAAGAATGCTGAGAGGGTATGCAAGGTCAGGTCGAGTGCAGGTCATCAGGTACATGAGGCAACCCACAAGCTCTGGATACGGGCC